TCCGTGTATCGTCCGTGTATCCTCCGTGTATCCTCCGTGTATCCTCCGTGTATCCTCCGTGTATCCTCCGTGTATCCTCCGTGTATCCTCCATGTATCCTCTGTGTATCCTCCGCGTATCTTCCGTGTATCCTCCGTGTATCCTCCGTGTATCGTCCGTGTATCGTCCGTGTATCGTCCGTGTATCCTCCGTGTATCCTCCGTGTGTCCTGCGTGAATCCTCCGTGAATCTTCCGTGCATCCTACGGGTATCCTCCGTGTATCCTCCGCGTATCCTCCGTGTATTCTCCATGTATCCTCCGTGTATCTTCTTGTATCTTCGTGTATCATCCGTGCATCCTCCATGTATCCTCCATGTACCCTCGGTGTATCCTCCGTGTATTTTCCGTGTATCCTCCGTGTATCGTCCGTGTATCGTCTGTTTATCCTCCGTGTATCGTCCGTGTATCCCCCGTGGATCCTCCGTGTATCCTCCGTGTATCCTCCGTGTATCCTCCGTGTATCATCCGTGTATCCTTCGTGGATCATTCGTTTATCCTCCGTGTATTTTCGTGTATACTCCGTGTATCCTCCATGTATCCTCCGTGTGTCCTCCGTGTATCGTCTGTGTATCCTTTGTGTATCCTCCGTGTATCCTCCATGTATTGTATGTGTATCCTCCGTATATCCCCCATGCGTCCTCCTTTTATCTATGTATATGGATTTTCCATTTGTGCCATCCTATCCTCTTTTTATCTCATCCTATCCTTCTTGCAGCCCATTTTATTTTCCTTGCATAGCATCTCGTTATCTTTTTCTATGTATTAATTTCTATACTGTACGTATTATCCTCGTATCCTCTTCATATTATCCTCGTATCTTCTTCATATTATCCTCGTATCCTCTTTGTATTATTCTCTTATCCTCTTTTGCATCCATCTCGTATATTTTTCGTATTATCCTCATATCCTTCGTTTGTCCCCTTCTATCTTTCGGTATTCTCATGCTATCCTCGTGGTATCCTCCCCGTGTCCTCCTTGTATTCATCTCATGTCCTCCGTGTATCCTCCTCATGTCTTTCTTGTATCCTTCCTGTTTCCCCCTGCATCCTATTTGGATATCCTCCGTGCATTCGCCTCATAACCTCCTTGTATGCTTCCTGAATCCTCTTTGCATCTCACTTTTTTGTATATTTTGTATTTGTATTAAGACCTGGGCAATGACTGGCTTTATCATGACCCGGGCAATGACAGGCTTTATCAAGACCTGGGCAATGACTGGCTTTATCAAGACCTGGGCAATGACTGGCTTTATCAAGACCTGGGCAATGACTGGCTTTATTAAGACCTGGGCAATGACAGGCATTATCAAGACCTAGGCAATGACTGGCTTTATTAAGACCTGGGCAATGACTGGCATTTTTAAGACCTGGGCAATGACTGGCTTTATCAAGACCTGGGCAATGACTGGCTTTATTAAGACCTGGGCAATGACTGGCTTTATCAAGACCTGGGCAATGACTGGCTTTATCAAGACCTGGGCAATGACTGGCTTTATTAAGACCTGGGCAATGAC